TAACCATTCTATGCACTAATTAGATCATGTATATATGATAAATAACATTTGGATTCAATTAGAAGACACAAGAATCAAAAAAGATATCGTTAGGGATTTTACATTACTAAAGCAATTGGACAAAGAGATAACAAGGTAACACAGTGGCTATAAATCACAATTCTGACAAAGGGATAGAAAATATTGATGATGGAAACCTGGCAATTATCTAGATATCTGCCAGAAGTTTATAACTTCTAAAAATCATAAATATGTTAACTTCTCAAGTATTTTTTCTAAAGAAAGTCTAAAGTAACAATGAATGTAAATTCTATTACCTAACGAAAGAGACAAGGTGATTTGTACAACAGAAAAATGGAATATACCAATACAGAGCACAGACCAAGCAAATATTACAGAATTTCAGACTAAGTCAGACTAACGTTCTAGGTTTTGGCAACTTTTTTTTTCAGAAATATGATTAATAAAAATTTAAGCTTAGATACATTATCAGCAATTCTATAAGAGTTCCAGATGATTGGGACATTGTTAAACAAAACATGGTAATCAAATCCTCATTTTTTATGTAGAGACCAGGAGTTTCTCTCTTAAAAGAACACAATTGCCATATGTGAGCTTTCTATTCAATTTGCATTTAAAATCATCTGTAAAAAAGTGAAAGAGATGCCTTACACACACAACAGAATATGAATGATATCAGAGTTTAACAGATATAGCAAGCTCATATTTGTAAAAATATTAAGAAATAATTAAAATGATGTATATGCTAACTTTTAAATGAATAATAAAGAAAACAATAATCCCACAGCAGTGATAACAGAAACCATAAACTAGCTCAGTTAACTCACATGAAATGTTCTTCACCAACCTACTCCAAATTTCTAATATTGGATAAAAAGTAAACTTGCAAATGTATCAGTATGTTATGAGGTGTGGTGGAGAAAATAGTGTCACTCACTGGAGAATCACTAAAATTCAAGAGCAAGGAGACAGAACATTTGTTTTATAAAAAAGGGGAAAAAGGTGAGTTAACATCATTATATATTTGTATGTATGGGAGGAAGTGATGGAGTATGTGATGCCTGCTTAAATACTTACTTAACCCTTAAAAAACTTAAAATATTGACATTTTATTTCAATTTTATATTAAGTAACTAACATGTAGCCATTGTAGGTATGTTCCTCAGATGAGGCAGCACTGGAATGGTCACAATGTATCTGATTATCCATCAATGTATCCCCCTACTCCAAGTGAAAACAAGGGGAAAACAGTCTATCCAGAGACTTCAAATGAAAAAAGAAAATCATAAGATTTTCAGCTTATAAATAAATATGGAGGGAAATCGAGAAGGATAGAGACTTATCTGGAGATGGAGGCAGGGGTAAGGAGCACATAGTATCTTGCTAAACATGTGTCTTTCGAGCAGTGATGGAAAGGAGGTGAAAGAGTGAGCCCAGTAAACATAATGAGGAAGCTGATCTCTTTTTATATCCTCAAGTACTTTCTTCACTGTCACTTCTTGAAAACATACGCTTTTCTGGTTTTACGCTCACTTACCCCCACTTCTCAGTACTTTTATTTTCCTCCTCATCTTTCTGACAAACCAATGGGCTCAGAACATGGAGAGAAATTTAGGTTTTAACTGTGATATCCTTTGGTGAATTACCTCCCTTGTAAAATATTGAACTGGTTGAAATTAAGTATAATATTCTAAGAAATGACATTAGTTTCTAAAATGGATACAATATATGTCAGAAGCAGGAAATACTATTTTCACAGCACTATTTTCTCTCTGTTTCTCGCTTTTCTAGGGAAAGGGTTGAATGAAGACACCTAAGCATTCTGATAATAATTTTCAAAAGAGGAAAATATCTTTTCGTCTGTTTATTTTAATATTTATTTTTTAAGAGCAGACTGATCATACCTATTGAAATTCATGTTCTATTTTTTTTTATTATACTTTAAGTTCTAGGGTACATGTACATAGCGTGCAGGTTTGTTACATATGTATACTTGTGCCATGTTGGTGTGCTGCACCCATCAACTCGTCAGCACCCATCAATTCGTCATTTACATCAGGTATAACTCTCAATGCAATCCCTCCCCCCTCCCCCCTCCCCATGATAGGCCCCTGTGTACAAGATACTTGAAGCTTAGGAACTCAACATATATCTAAGGGTTATTTGGTTCTTTTTTTTTTTTTTTTTCCTTTCTGGATTGAGTTCTCTTAACCTGCAGGTTCAGCTTTTGCTTTATTATAGGAAAGTCTTCTTCTATGATATCCTTCAATGCATTTATGTCTTATGTGTTTGTTCTTTTCCAGAAACATTGCTATGCTTATGTTGGCTGGCCTTTATCTTCTATGACCATCATTTTTCTTTCTAACAATTTATAAACGTCTTTACAGCTTCTTTAGTTTACTCAAGTCTCTCCTTGAGCTCTTGAATCTCATTATTGCAACTTCTAAAGTGACTTGTTTTTCTATAGTGGTTTTATTATAGTTTTCAGTTTCTTTCCTGAACATTGCCAGCTCACTTTTTCTCCTTTGGCCATTTTAGAATCTCTTCCTTGAGTCTTTATCTCTCTGTGTTTTTTTTTTTTTTTCAAAGGGGCCATGTTCTTTTTAACTTCTTAAAGGGTGGAACAAGTATTTTTATTTTTATTTTTTAGAGAGACAGAGCCTCTCTCTGGCATGCAGGCTGGAGTGCAGTGGCACAATCATAGCTCACTGCAACCTCGAACTCCTGGGCTTAAGCCATCCTCCCACCACAGCCTCCTAAATAGCTGGGGCTACAGGTGTACACCACCATGCCTGGCTAATTTTTTATATTTTTTTGTAGAGATGAGGTCTTGCATGTTGCTCAGTTTTGTCTCACACTTCTGGCCTCAAGTAATCTTTCCACCTCATTCTCCCAAAGTGCTGGGATTACAAGTGTGAGACACCATGTCTAGCCTTAATAAATATTTATCTGGAATTTTCTTCTCTATTCTGCAGTAATTTTTCTTCATAGCTTGGAATAATTCCATGTCAGCTATAAATTCCTCACCTGGTTTTCACTTTTTAACTTCCTTCATTCTTTTTCTTTTCATATTCTCTATGCATAGGTACCATAATGGGTCTTCTAAATTTACCCCTCCCTTGAGAATGGGGTCATTCCACCAGAGGCTGCTATTTGTTCAAGAGTGGTCTGCATGGCTGGGGCAAAGGAATGATCTAAAATGCTGGCAATGTCTGTCCTGGGTGATTCTTTCAGAATATATTCAGAGATAGTCTTTTTTCTAATTTTCATTGTTTGCCTATTTCAGATAAGCAGATCACCCACACAGGAGGTAGGTCTGTCTCACAGAAAATCCTAACTCACAACTGAGACCCATCTCATTTACTTTTAGAGAAATCTGGACCATGCTTGAAATCTGGAGGGTTATGTATCATCTCTCAGCATTCTTCTTCAAATTGATTCCAAATTCACCAGTTTGGCAGATATTCTTCCTAGTCTGATTGATACTTGTAGCTCTAGCTATATTTCTTCTAGATGCATTTTTCTTTTCTGCTTTATGTTCCTTGGATTATTTTAATAGGTTACACACTGGAGACTGTAGTAAACAGGCTTTTTACCAGAAGTTCAATGTAGTCTTTTAAAAATAAAAATCTGATATTACCCCTTCATTCTGCTGCCTCCATCATCTGCTTTCCACCCACATCTCCCCTTTTTCTCCTTCACTCTTCTGCTTCATGTGACACTTGTTCTGTTGCTCTCCCTCTGAAAGCTGTGCCCTTGTGCTTCTTGTTCCCTCTCCCTGGAAGGCTCTCTCCTTCATGCCATTTCTTGGTCAATTCCATTTCTACTTCAAGCTCAGTTTAAGGATGCTTTTTCTGAACACTCTAAGCAAATATCCATACATGTTCCCCCACTTACTATATCAAATCTCCCTTTAACATCTGTTAGAAAGTCCCATAAGAACATCTTGATTTCTCTTAATGTTGTAATCATGTGGTTTGGACAACAAATACTGAATTCAAACTTTAAATTGTAATAGTCAAAGGAAGTTTCTCTAATCTACACTGGACATGTTCGCAGCAAAGTACAAATGCACTGTGAATTCATTTGAAGTGTTGCATGTTGTGTCTGTTACAGATATTCACACTAGAACAAGCATAATTTAATGAGGGTGTTTAATAATAATGGGTGTTCCAAAAACCTGTATCATAAAGTTCACCAGGGCCTAGGCTACTGCCTGGCACATAGAAGATGCTCAATAAATATTTGTTAAACAAGTGAAAAAAAAAAAAAAAAAGAAATTCATGTTCTTCTCTTGGGCTACCATAAATTCTAACTTACTCTGCTTTTTAGTGTACATTAAGTCCAGATTCTAAAGAATTGCTTTCTCCTGAGCACTAGAGAGGAGAAGTTATTCACAAATCACTGAGGGGCTTGTTTTGCCTCTGCCATTATTTTAGAGATTTGGGGCACATCACCATCCTTCTGGGATTCAGGCTCCTCGTCTGTAATATACAGGGACTAGATCATGATCTTAAAGGCCTCTTGAAAAAATAATAAAACCAAGACTCCACTGTTCTTGCATTTATTGCTTAGACCAACATACACTGATCAGCTGTTCTGAATCAACACTGGGATGTTTATATTTGTGCAAACAATATTTTATGTCTCCTCCAACAGGTGTTCATGTGAAAACATTGCATCGAATTGACCCCACAGTACCATGGCTTATTAAGAAAAAAATAAAATCAATGTGTGTGCAATGCTAGAAAATAAAGTGTGATGAATGTTTAGAAATTATATACCATGTTTTTCCTAAAATCGAATGTAGGATAGAACAATTTAATTCATCGTTTTATGACCTGAATTTGAAAAAAAATAACTCAAGTTGGAAGAAAAGATCTTCTAAAAATATTTTTAAACAGAAAGAATACAATGTAATTAAAATCAGGAGAACAAGCAAAATTAAATTTACTGTTTACTGTTTGTCTTTTCTTTAGGTTATTCACACCATCAGTGCCACTGATAAAGATGATTTTGCCAATGGACCAAGGTTTAACTTCTTTCTTGATGAACACCTGCCTGTAAATCCAAACTTCACTCTGAAGGACAATGAAGGTGAACATATATACACATATTTGTTTATCTATGTGGTTTCTGCTTTGACCTTATATGTAATAGGCTTTATTCTTATATACTCACAGACATCTTGCAAATCAGCATTCAAAGTCAGTTTGATGCTACTGTGTTATGATCTGTGAATAGCTTGTATTTAAAATTGAGCCACACGTACAAATAATTTTCATTGAATTTATTCAGAAGCATCTCTTTAAACAAGAAATGTACATGTAATATGCTCTTGGACAAATTTTAAGAGAAATCTTAGCTGACAAACTTGTTTATGAGAGCTGCTGCTACTGCTTGGAGGTAGAAAATATTCAAATTAGGAAAAATGAAAAATATATCCTAGAGACAGTTACTAAAGGAAATGCAATGCTTGCAATCATCTTGTATGAGCAAGACTATCAAGATGTGCTGTACAAATTATATTTCCTCTTATTATGAACATTGTCCAAAATATGCATAGAAAGATATGCACAAGTATGCAGAGTATTTTGGAAATTTTTGAATCATTTTTATTTAGCCTTCTGTATTGTGTGGTTAAAAATAATCCCATAATTTAGTAACTACGGAAGTTCCTTCATTATTTAGATGTCCTCTTTGGTACATTTCTCAAGGTTCCATGTAAGTCATTCTTCATACCTTAGGGAAACATTAAGCTATACGGTATGTCCAATTTTCTGATTAGGATCAACTTTTTCTTTCTCCAAACTATATATTTGATTATGTTTATCTGAATATGCTGCTATTTGGAATTTAACAGTTGCCTCAGAATGACATGAAGAAAACAGTGGCACATACATTTTCAGTAAACATTGAATTCCCTCTCTCTTTCCGGGAGAAGATTTTTAAATGCAAGTCACTAAATGACAACCTGCCAAAAGCATTTTTCCCATTTTCCCTAAACATCTTTAAATATAAAAAAGGATCAAAATGTGCACAAAGCCATAAGATTAATATGAACATTTAAAGCTTAATTGTCTCTCACGTTTTAAGTGGCCCTAGGTCAGCACTGCTTATGGGAATAAATATTTGTGCATGTTAATGTATGAAAATTGTATTTAACTGACTATTGTACATTTACTTACATTAGAACAGGCTGTCTTATAATTCAAATATACTTAGTATGATTAAATATGTGAAACTCATGAAAAAATCATATTTTTCCATATTTCAAAGAATTGTATAATTTGGCAGAGGTTATTTAATTTGCTTCCTTAGGAGTTTGGGATCATATGTTGAGCCATGCCCTTATGTTTCAGTTGCATTTTTTTCTATTCCAATAAAAATTTTATGTTTTAAAATAATTGGCAGGGCGCGGTGGCTCAAGCCTGTAATCCCAGCACTTTGGGAGGCCGAGACGGGCAGATCACGAAGTCAGGAGATCAAGACCATCCTGGCTAACACGGTGAAACCCCGTCTCTACTAAAAA